CCCCCCTCCCAAACCACTACAATTTTGGGAAGCACCTAGTAACATGACTTTTATTAGGAAGAAAGACTTCTGAGTTCTGTACATTTGTGCGTGCGGGGCTCATTATGTTACCACTATGTGGTGTCTAGTTATTTCACTGGTTAGTTAATTTACTGGTTAGTTAATAACAAGGTTAAAGGTTAGTTACCAAAGATTRTATTTAAATTAATGTTAGTTAAATAACTGGTTAGTTAATTAAATGTTAGTTATTTAAAGGTTAGGTAATAAAAATGTTAGGTAATTAAAGGTTAGTTCAGTAAAGGTTAGTTAGGGRGGATGTGGCAGAGTGGTTAGGGGAGTCATCCTGGAACCAGAAGGTCGCRGGTTTGATCCCATGTCCAGCTGTCRCAGTMYRTGMGTCCTTGGACAAGACAACCCCAGTACCTGTGATGTCCCATCAGTGTGTGAATGTGATTGGCTCTGATGAGTCTCCACAGATGATTGTTAGCTCTGTAGAGAGCTCACAGGGTGATGTGTGAATGGGTAAATGAGGACACAGATGTGAAGAGCTTTGAGGGTCCTGGTTGGGTAGAAGGTTTCTAAATAAATACAGTCCATTTACCGTTTAACTAAAGGTTCCTCATCACGTCATTAAACAGAACTCATGTTCTGGTGTTTGGACTTACACCTCAGGAAGACTTCCTCTGGTCCCTCCTCTATGTTTGGGTCTGGATCCCCTCCCCCTTCCCCTCTCCTCCCTCTCTCCCTGCAGACCAAACCCCTCAGCTCTCCTCAGAGTCCTCTCAGACYGATTCTGACCCGGACCAGAGTCAGACCTGCAGTTTTCCAGTCATGTTGGACACCCTGACCTTCCTCCTGGAGCGCCTCTTCCTCCTGGCCCACATCAAGCTGTCCAGCCTCCTGCCCCCCTCCACCAGAGCGACCACAGACCCCCAGCCTCCTCCCCGCTTCGACCCGGTTCGGTTCCAGAGGGGAGACCTTTTGGAAGTCCCCCGGACCCTCTTCACCCACTTTGGCATCTATCTGGGGGAGAACCGTGTGGCGCACCTGATCCCGGACATCCTGCCGGTCCTGACCTCTGACCTCCAGCAGATCCAGCAGATGGTCACCAACACCCGCCTCCTGCTGGGGGTCCTGTCCAAGCGGGCCAGCATCCGGGTGGACTCCGTGGAGGACTTRGCCTACGGAGCCGGGATCCTGCAGAATGCCATGGACCGGGTGGTGGTCCAGAGCCCGCTGGTCGGGGAGGATGTGGCCCGGCGGGCGGAGCTGCTGGTGGGGGGCGTGGCCTACAGCCTCCTGTGGAACAACTGCGAACACTTCGTCACCTACTGCCGCTACGGCTCGGCCCAGAGCCTGCAGACCCAGCAGGTGAGAACCAGAACCCTCTGAGTGTTCTGTAAATGTTCTGTGGACCAGGAACCCGGTTCTGATGGAACAGGAAGGGAACCAGCAGCTGGACTCTGCGGGGTCAGAATGTGGTTCTGTTCTCAGCTCCTGCAGGTAAAGAGTCAGAATAATTTCCTTCCAGGCAGCCAGAACCGAATCCTTTAAAGTTCTGCTCAGGTTCTGAAGGTTCTCGGCTGCTTTTCCTCTCAGTTTCAGAACYTTTGTGTTTAAATCAAATAATTCAGACATAAAACTGATGTTCTGATGAAACAAAAAGCAGAGATCAAAGAGCGCACCGTTAAAACGCTCAAATTTAAATAAAACTTTGAGGGATTTGATGACTGAACTGTGGATTCCTCCATTCTGCTCTGAATTCAGTGTTCAGAAATTCTTCATGCTGCTCCTCCTCCTCCTCCTCCTCCTCCTCTGAGTGTCAGGCTGGGTTTACACAGAAAAGGAAAATCTGGGTCGCTCCTCGGAAAACTCTGAAGAACAAGAGCTGCATTCAGACCTGAAGGAGCCAGCAGCAGCCAGGGTCTGTCTGCCACACTGAGGAAGAGGAGGAGGAGGAGGAGGAAGAGGAGGAGGAGGAGGAGGAGGATGATGAAGGACCTGCTGAGTCCTGTAGTTTCCAGGTCCTTCAGCACTTTAAAGATCCAGTCTGGTTCTGATGTTTAACTCAGTTTATTGTTACTGAAGGTTTTTCTAAGACTTCTTTCTTTTCCTGGTCCATCCTTTAGATTAAAACTTTATAACTTTTTGATCAAAATCTGGAAACAAATTATAAAATTTTAAAATAAATAATAAAAACATTTTGACTGCATAAATTAGAAATAATTATAACAGTTTTTGTGGTGTTAGGTGACAGGGTTTTGTCTTCAAATCTATCAGAAGCAGCTGTTTACAGTGACCCCTAGTGGTGAGAACCGCTGAGTCCTTCAGGCTTTTACAAACACTTTGAAGAATTATTTATTAAATATATTGAATATTTAAATAAATTGTGATCAATAAGCCCAGACTACACTCATTTTATATCAAATATAAAATGATTTGTAACARAAAATAAAATGTTAAAAATGGAGGTGATGAGGAGCAGACGTGTTTGATCTGCTGCAGAGACTTGACCCTCATCAGGTTTCACTTCCTGTCATTTTGGACCTAAACKTGAGAGACGGCTGCCGTCTCACAGAGACCGTCTGTTTTTGTTAAAGGTTCACTGAACGGAAGCTGAGGGCCAACAGGAGCTCTTAGAGGGGCCTCAGGGGGCCCCGAGCAAAAATAAACAACGGCTCAGAACTCCAACCTGCTGCCAGAGTACAAGTCTCAGGTTGAGACTTACTGCTGGCTGTGGCTCTAAGGTTGGACCAGAAGACAGCTGGACTCCACCCTTTCTCTGGATGGACTCCACCTTGTCTCTGGTCCTGCTGGACTCCACCTTGTCTCTGGTCCTGTATGTGGTCTTGAATGTTGGACTCCACCATGTCTCTGGTCCTGTATGTGGTCTTGAATGTTGGACTCCACCATGTCTCTGGTCCTGTATGTGGTCTTGAATGTTGGACTCCACCTTGTCTCTGGTCCTGTTGGACTCCACCTTGTCTCTGGTCCTGTTGGACTCCACCTTGTCTCTGGTCCTGTTGGACTCCACCTTGTCTCTGGTCCTGTTGGACTCCACCTTGTCTCTGGTCCTGTATGTGGTCTTGAATGTTGGACTCCACCTTGTCTCTGGTCCTGTATGTGGTGTTGATGGTCTGTTTTTCTCCTGTCTCCAGTTCTGCGAGTTTCTGAAATCCATGATCCGGGACCAGCGGCTCGTGGTCCTGACTGCTCTGTTGGGCCTCCTGTCCATGGTGAGTCTCGGATTGTCCTCCGGCACCACCCTGCTGTCCCTGCTGGTCCCCTTCACCCTGTGGATGGCCAGCTAGGATCCTCCTAGACCTCCTGCACCTGCAGTGTTGGACTGAGCCGAGTCCTGGTTTTGGACCAGGACCAGGACTTTAGCTGCTGTTCTGCAGCAAATGAAGGTTTGAACTCTACAACAGGGACATGAAACAGGTCATAGGTTCTGGTGGTCCGACCCAGACCCTTCAGAGACTCTGCCTGGTTGGTGTTTTATAAACCAACTGACCTCACGTGGTTCTGATGTCACTTCCTGTTCTGAAATCAAACCAGGTTTTGGTTCTTTGGTTCCTTTAAACCGTATTTAAACCTGTTAATCTTCATTTATTGACACAAACTGATTGTTTAGCTTCTTCACAGTTTTCTCACTTTATCACTTGAATAAATCAAGACTTTCTGAACCAAAGGACAGAAAACTTCATTAAAACTGTATTTTCAGCTGTAAACAGGTGACGTGTAAATATCTGTAAATACCTGATTTTGTAAAGAATTTATTTTTACATTATGGTAACGCTTTGTTTTTACTGTGTAAGTAAAATAAAAATAATAAAGGACCAGCTGTGTTGTTTCATGAGCAACATTTCCTTATTTATTGTAAACAAAATGGTTCTTTTTGGTCTTATGTTACTGTTAAGCAAGAAAATATACAAAAAATATTTATTATAATTTCATAACAATAAAAGTTAATATTTGAAAGTCGTTTTTAGAAATCAGCCTGTTTTTATGTGTAGAGTTTTATTACCTTTTTTTCCTCTCATGGGACATTTTCAGAGCAGTTTAAAGAGTGAAGCACTGTCGCCCTCTGCTGGTGAGTCATGTGAACTGCATCCTTTCCACAGAGTGAAAACTGCAGCTTAGATTATAAAAGTTTCACAGGAAAACAACTAGAAAGTTTTAAAATATTCTAAATTTGACAGAAATTACAGATTTACTTTGTGTTTTAGTATTAAAGCTTAATTAGACTTAAATCTGTCAGACAGCTGACTGAACTTGATGCTCAGGTGATCTGGGTTCTGGACTTGTTTTTATTTTGAGGTTTTTCTTGACTAGATTTATTATTTTGTTATTTTTCTGATTAATTAGAGGCTGTTCTGTTTAGTTTTCRGCTCCTTTTCAAACCCTGCAGCTAATTATTCCTGAAAACGTTGCAGGTAAAGGTGGATGATTTTTACAATGTTTCAGTTTAGAGTCTGATGATGTCACTAACTTTACTTTCTAAACCCGTGGTTCTGGACCCTGGTCCTGGAGGAACCCTGCATGTTTCAGGTGTTTCTCTGCAGGTCCAATCACTCATTTATACAAATCAGCTGTGTCAAACATGCAGGATGGTGATCCTCCAGCCTTTCAGGTTCTTTGCAACAATCTCTTGTTTTTGGAACAAATATAACAGATTTCTACATCCAGATGCAGGAATCTGTGTCTGCTGCTGCAGGACTTTAGTTTTAGCTGAGGAGCACAGACAAACTTCTACTCTGTAAGTCTTTCAGCTCAAATCTTTAAAACAGGAAGTGCAGGCTCTTTTAGTTCTTCATGCATTTTTTCTGAGGCTTATTTTTCAGTCTGCMTCTCTTAAATGAGTCTGATCAGAGAAGTGTTCACCTCTCTGCTTTCGTTTGTCTGATGAAGCTTCTCATCATTCACACAATGGTTAATTTTTTCTTCCATTTCTAACTCGTTCCACAATTTTTGTGTCATTTCAACAATTCACATGTGAAAACGTTCAGCTCATTCATGTGAGGCCTGCCATGACTTTTGATGTTTCAGCTTTTTATACTTTTTTAGCTATTTCATTTTTTAGCCACTTTTTTGCCGTTGAAAATGAATGGAGCTGTTTGCTACATCCTTAAACTCCTTTAAAATGTTTCTAAATCTTTACAGCACCTCACACATTTTGTTCTGCTTCTGCTTTCTGTCACATCCTTGTGCTAATTTTAGCTGCTTTTTTGTTAGTTTTAGCTTTTTCTGCTATTTCAACTAAACTGCCATTCTTCTGCTTTTTTTTTCAACTTTTTGTGCTTCTTACAGATGATTTCTGCTATATTCAGCTATTTGCTGAAATTTTAGCTAATGCTTAGCTGCTATTAGCTAAAGTTGGGTTTTCTAAGCTAACCATTTTTGTAGCTATTACAACATTTTTCAGCTGAGTTCAGCTACCTTTTAGCTGTTTTACTGAAAATTGCAGCTATTTTAGCCATTTTACTACAAATTGTCACTTTTTTGTACTTGGCTTTATTTTTTTCTGCTAGTTTTGTTTATCTGGGTGCTAATTTCAACTTGTGGCTGCCACCTTTAGCCGATTAGTTTTAGCTTTTTTATGCTACTTTAGCTATAGATCTGCTTCTTTCTGCTCTTCTCCCACTTTTAATACTATCTGGGCTTTTTTTCTGCTACTTTTTTCAGTTTATGCTTCTTATAGATGTTTTCAGCTGTTTTGGTTCTTAGCTTTTAGCTGTTTTCAGCTAGATTTGTGCTCCTTTTTGTACAGTTTTTCTGCAAAGTTAGGTTTCTTTTTTTGTTTGCTTCCTTCAGTTTTTCAGAGTGAGCTGACTCTTCCTGTTAAATATTTTAGCTCAGTTTCAGCAGGTATCAGCTGAAGTTTTCAGCAGGAAACATTCACWCTGTATTTTTACAGGAAAAACAGTTTCTCTACTTTTCTTTGTTTTATCAGTTTAATTTGTTTTATTTTGTTAGAAACTTTCTCAGAGCAGCTCCAGGGTGTTAAAGTTCTGAACCTGCTGCAGACTCTAATCCTCTCCCCGCCCCCCCCCAGTCAGCAGGATAAAACCCCTGTGAGAACTCCTGGTCCTGTCCTGGTTCTGGTCCTGGTCCTGGTCCTGGTCCTGCGTCTCCTCAGCATGTTTCCTCTGCAGCTCCTCGCTCTGATCTTCATCTCCTCTGCAGCAGATGAGGAAGAGGAGGAGGAGGAGAAGTATGACCTGGTGTTCAGGAGGGGGGACCTGCTGGAGGTCCCTCGGACCCTCTTCACACACTTTGGGATCTACCTGGGGGGCGGCAGGTGAGTCTGCTGACACCTGATTGGTCCGTTTCAGGTCGGGGGTTTGTTTCCTCTTTTCTGTTTCGTCTCCTCCAGAGTGGCTCACTTCATCCCAGACATCCTGCCGGTGGTCTCCAGTGACCCGGTTCTGATCCAGCAGATGGTGACCAACACCAGGCTCATCCTGGGAGTCCTGGCCAAGGTCTGAACCCGACTCGGGCCGGTTCTGACCCGCAGGCYTTGCTGGTGTTTGATCCTGTGTTTCTGTCCTCAGTGTGGCAGCGTGAGGGTGGACTCTGTGGACGACTTCGCCTACGGAGCCGAGATCGTGGTCAACCCCATGGACAAGGTGGACAGAACCAGTCAGAACCCCTGATCCGGTTAAATAATTAGTACCAGAAATGTTTTTCTTCAGAAAACCCAAACAAGTGGAACCAGATTAGAACTTTTCAGTCTAACAGAGTCTCTGAAGACTTCAGTATTTAAATCAAACAGGAAGGAAGAGGTTTTCACCTCGACCTTTTAACAAATCTATGGATTTTCAAAATAAGAGCCTGGATGTGTTGTAGAGCAGGTCTAAATTCAGACTTGAGTCGTGTCGCTCTGTTTGGACCCGGTCGGCCCGGCCCGGCCTGGGCACCGGTCCAGTGCTGCACTGGCCCAGTGKGGCCCKGGGCCACTGGGAAAAGTCTCGGTAGTCCCAATGGCCAGTCCGCCCCTAAAACGGCCTGATGTCACTCTGACCTCTGACCTGACCCTGATCACAGACCTGAACTGTGGTGTTGATCCTGGTGCAGATGTGCGGCGGAGCGGCGCTGCAGGGGGAGGAGGTGGCCCGGCGGGCCGAGCGGCTCCGGGGGGACGTGGCCTACAGCCTGCTGTGGTACAACTGTGAGCACTTCGTCATGTACTGCCGATACGGGACCGTCATGAGCTTCCAGACCTTTCAGGTGGGGCGCCGCAGGGCTTCTGTCTGTTCTGTTAGCAAAATATCACAAACACAAATGAATGATTGGCCACCACAGCTAACCTAGCCTTTATAATGAGATCTAGTGTGGTAGTAGCTGAGAGTCACCCATAACAATAAATCACAGGACCAAGATGTTTTAAAGTTTTGAGAAGTCAGATTGTGTTTTTCTGAGCTTCAGCTGCAGATTAACTCTGACCTCAGATCAGCTCGGCCTCCTGCTCTCTGATTGGTCGGAGCGACAGGTCGGCCATTGTTCCTGCAGGTTCTGTCGGGATGATTAAAGCAGCTGAGTCGGTGAAGAATGTGGTTAAGAAGGTCAGCCATGAGGAGGGCGGTGACGCAAATATGTTGGAAATGTAAAAAAACAAACCACAGCAAAGAAAAACTGTTTCACAAAGAGATTTAAATAGACTATAACACGAATAAAAAATTAAAGTGTAAAATGTTCCTGTTAGTTTTAGTTGAGTTTCTCACAGGAAGCAGCATTTTCAGTCTGATGTCTCCCTCTAGTGGTGGTTTTTGTTTTAGAATTTACAGAAAAATCCACAAAAAACGTGTAAAATATCACTCATGAATCAAAATAAAATAAATAAAAGYTCAATGCCCTAATCAGTGTTGTATAAAGTACCACAGAGAGATACTTCAGTAAAAGTAGTATCTTACCAAAACATTACTTTGATAAAAGTTAAAGTCTCCTTTAGGAATATAACTTGAGTAAAAGTCTTAAAGTATGTGATATTTGTTGTAGTTAAGTATTAAAAGT